AGTATATTCAGAAAATCCCAAGGAATCTAACAAAATAGCCACTAATTACATGAGCACAGCAAGGCTGCAGGATACAAGTCAATGTAAAAAATAAATGGCATTTCTGCATAGCAGCAACAATTGGAAACTGAAATTAAAACCAGTACTATGTACAACAGCATCAAAAAATATAAAATAGGGGTAAATGTGCAAGACTTGCATACTTAGAACTATAAAACACTGCCAAGAGCAATTAGAAAAAACCTAAACAAATTAGAGGAAACCATGTTAGATCAGAATACTACATCTTAAAGATGCTAATTCTCCTCAATGCAATCTATAGTTTTAATCCAATCTCAATCAAAATCCTATCAGGCTTTTAGAAAAAAATACTAACTGATAATCTGATTATATGGAAATGCAAAGGACCTAGAATAGCTAGAACAATTTTGCAAAGAAGAACAAGTTTGTAAGACTTAACGTTACCTGTTCTCAAGTCTTGCTATAATGCCATGGTAATCAATATAGCATTATATTGATTACTGTATTGGTGAAGACAGACCTATAGATCAATGGAACGGAACTGAAAGTCTTAGAAATAGACCAACACATATAAGATTAATTGACTTTTGACAACAGTACTAAGACAATTCAATGAAGAAGCAATATTTTCAATAAATGGTGCAAAAAAACGAATCTCTACCCTTATCTCACACTATATACAAAAGTTAACTCAAAACGTATCATTGACCTACATGAAAAAGCTAAAACTGTAACATCTAGGAGAAATTCTTAAGTTTAGTTTTGTCAGTGATTTTTAAAATAAGATGCAAAATGCATCAAATTTAAAAGGAAAAAATTATAAATTGCACTTCATAAAAACTGAGTTCTTGCTTGTCAAAGGATACTGCTAAATGTCTCACGATATATAAAGATTACTTCACAGGTGAAGAGAAAGCATTGCAAAACGTGTGTCTAACAATACTTGTATCTTACAATTCAATAAGACAAAGAAACAACTAAAAAATGCTCAAATCATTTGTACAAGCCACTCCCCAAAGATATACAGATGGCAGGTAAGCACATGAAAAATGTCCAATATGCATCATTCATTAGGGAAATGCAAACTAAAACCACAACAATATATTACTACATACTTACTTGGATGACTAAAATTAGAAAGATTGACCATATCAAGTGTGAGCAAGCATGTGAGCAACTGAAACTCTCATGCAGAACTGGTGGGAATGTTAAATGGGACAGCCACCTTGTACAGGACAGTTTGGTAGTTGTGCAAAAATTTAACACACAGCTATCTTAAAACCCAGACATTACACATATAGTTCTTTAATCAAGAGAAATAAAAGTACACATGCACACAAAGACTTGCATATGAATGTTCTAATAGCTTTATGTGTAACAGCCAAAAGGTAGACACAACCCAATGTCTACCAACTGGTGAATAATTTCACATATTTGGTATAATCCCTACAATGAAATACTAGTCAGCAATAAACAGGAGCAATCTATTGGTAAACAACTCAGCATTGATGAGTCTCAAAATAATTATGCTTAGTAAAAGACATTGGACAAAAAGAGTACATACTGTATGATTCGATTTATGTAAAATTCTAAAAATAATTTATAGTGACATAAAGCAAATTAGTGGTTGCCTGAGGATAGGAAAGGGGAGGAGGGATGGATGGATTACAAAGGAACATAAGAAATCTTGAATTGATGGATATTCATTATCTTGAATGTGGTGGTGGTTTCATGAGACTAAGTATTTGTCAAAATTCAGTAATTTGTACACTTACAATATGTGTACAGTATGTGTACACTTTCAATTATGTTTGGCTTACTGAACATCAATTCTCTCTCAGTAAAGCTGTAAGGCAAAGTAGTTCAGTAAACTTCATAAATATTATGGTTATTAATATATGAAATCATTAAAATAAACAAGAAAAAAAACAAACACTCCAGACTACTCATCTGAGGAGTATATATTTATGATGTTATCTCCAATTCAGAACTTATCAAGACCTCAGGCTCCCTGAGGGCTATCGAGAAATCCCACAGCCCTCCAAAGCACAGAGACCCTACCCAGCCATAAAAATGTGAAAACAATAAACAACCAAAACATAATGAACAATAAAGGTCTAGAAATGTACACTCAGAAGAGAATGCTACAACTTTAAGAAAAAGTAACTCTTGATGTCTGATGCTAGTTTGATGAATTGGAGAAAACCCCAATGTTTCCACAGCATAGATTTTCTAGTGCTACAAAGGACAAAATTACTTTTCTCCTAACCTCTTTCTAGATCAACAGTCTCCTGATCAATCTTTAATTAACAGAAGTGTCCATGGCATGGGGAAAATAATATAATTGATTATTTATATCAAAATTGTATTGAGCACTTACTAAGTATGAGGCATTCATTTAATCCTCACAAGAATCCTAGGAGCAAACTGAGGCACAGAGAGATACAGTTACCTGCCCAGGGGCATATAACTAGCAAATGGTAGAGCCAGGCAGTCTGATGCTGAAGTCCATGTTCTTTACCACAGAACTACACTATAATGCTTTCATATATTAGCCATGTTTTCTTACTTTACAACATGCTGATAGCAAAACCTGTGTGATATCACTATGTTCATTCCCTTAGGATGCCTCATAGCAATATTACAAGAACTGAATTTAGAAACAAGTGATATACTTCCAGGTAGAAGACATTTTATAAGTTATTACAATTTCCTTAAAAGGTAATTCTATTAGCTTAGGAATCACTAAAATGGAATCCTTAAATAGATCACTCTCCTCTGCCTTTACTGTTTTATGATTAATTTAGTACCTCTGAAAGAAAGTGGTTTTACATATTGAAACACTCTTTACAGTAAAAAGAAGTCTATTTGATATTTTAGTACTCAACATTTCTTTTTAAGGCAACCTCTTTTCCTGCATATAAGACATTAAGAATTAATTTTGCTTCTTTTACAGAAACAGGTAAGAAGTATACCTTTCCTGCAGAGTAATTTACCTTGAAATTAACCTTCATATTTAGAAAGAAGAACACAAAACTTTTTGATCATCAATGCTACAGTTATTCACTTTCACTATTAAATGACACAGTCTGTTTATTAGACAGATACACACATTGATAGGTATCAACCTTTTTATTTCCCACGTGAGATATTACTGAACACCTGCTATGTTCCAGGCACTCTTTAATATGTAGAAATACAGTGAGAACAGACATCTCTACCCTCGTGGCATTTACATTCCAGAGGGGTAATATTGACAACAAATAAAAAGAACCATATAGATACCATGTCAGACAATGAGAAATCTAATGAGACAAATAAAACAAGGCAAGGGTTAGGAGTGCAGGTACTTCGGGGGGAGGATAATTAAGGAGAGAGGGTGCAGTCCTCTTTAAAACTGTCTGTCTTCAAAGATCTTTAATTGAGATCAGAGAGGAGAATATGCAAATGAAGATGGATAAACCTCCTTGCTTAATGCAAAAAAATTACACGTAACAGATGGCAAGATTGACGGTTAAGAAGTCCCTTCAAAGGCAAAAATGTCAGATGAGTATCCCCTTTGTCCAGAAAGGGCTAGGTGAATAAACCTGAATGAAATTATGTAGTATTATTCAGTTTCTTTTTAATACCCCACGATTCCAGCAAAAATAATATTCCCACTCCACCTCCAACTGAGGTGCAGTTCTTAGAAGAAGTGGCTGAATGCAAAAATCACTACTGAGTTCCACATTTGATCAAGGACCGTGTACCATATAATAATCCCAACTAAAGTTATAAATCTGAAACCAATTCTGTCAACAAAGTGTGGCAAACTTATATATAATTATTATATAATTTCTTGAGACATAAAAACTGGATAGAGAAAAATAATATGAAAAATTAGTAGGTCTCTAAAAAAATAAAAAATCAGATGCATGTACACAAAGCCCTAGATTTCCAAACAAATTTTCTCAAACTGTTCTTGTAGAAATTAAACATTTTTCCACTCATACATAAAAATTAAGAAAAAAGTACTAAATTTTTAACTGATTTGTCCTCTTGCATGAAAGTAATAATGTGGATAATTTTATTATTCTATTGGACTCACCTAATAAATTGCTACTTATCTGAGCCAAAGGCTAAGGCTTTCTTAAAGTTGTAGAATTATGGAAGACTCAAAAGCCCGTAAGCTAATAAGTGTCCCCTGTGAAGAAGTCTCTTTACAATATAATATTCTGATAAATCTGTTTCACTGTTTGCCATCATCCAAAAAATCTAAGTTCATCCTATTTTAAATCCATACTATCTCCCTCAATTCCTACCTATTTGTTTTAGTTGTTTTCTAGAGAAAAATCCTGCTCTCCTCTACCAGCCTTGGACAGGCAGCAATGAATCCCCCAACTCAAGATTTCTCTTCTCCAGGTGCAACATGCCCAGTTCCATCAAATATTTCTCATATAATGACAGGACCTACTGGTTCAAAGATTCATGTATTTCATTCAAATGTCATCTCAAGTCTACGTGTATAGTGGTACAACTTTACTTCTTCACTTAAAAAATCCTTTTATACGAATGCCTAAGCTTAATAATTAGTCTCTCAATGAAGCATGTCTTCTCCACCTTTTGCTTGTAAGAATGATTTTCTAAATCTAAATGAAGTTCTCAGAAGTCATGCTAATATTGGCATTATTTATTTTTATTGACTTTTGAAAAAGATGGACCATGACATGTACAGCTATTTGATTTAAAAAAGGTCACACAAAATAGTTCAGCATCAATGCATAAAGCAGGTTTATTCAAGCTGTGGTTGACAGACCATGTGGGGATGCCTGTTAGAGATACAGATTCCTAGACCTCTTCTATGGCAACAGAGTCTCTGGAAAGGGACTTGACAGTTTGAGCTGTTTATAAAATCTTTAGATCCCCTGGGGTTTAAGAATCATGGCCTAAAGACTTCAGTTAGGATTTTGCCTCCTAAAAAAGACACTTAAGTATCTCACCTGTAATCCAGGAATAAATCGACTATCCTTTTCAACCACGAGAAGTTCAGCGACATTGGCATTGAGAATGGATCTTGTAATGCCCCCTGGCCCAGGACCCACTTCATAAACATAGGCATTTGTCAGATTGCCAGCTTTCCTCACAATTTTATCTAGAGAAAAGAAATGTTTTAGTTGATTATCTGGGCAAATTTCAATGTACAGAACTTAAAATAATGTATATGAGTTATTATCAGCCATTACTCAATTAACTAATCCTTTATACACAACAGTTATCCAATTATTTAACTCTCAACCTAAACCAACATAGGTAACCATTCGATATTCTACTACTTTACTATTGAATTGTACTGGTCCCTTAACAAAAATAGGATTGTCATGACAAATCTCCTTAACTAAGTTTATCCAATACTGAATTTTCTATCTGTTCTTCTGCCAAACCAATTAATTCCTAAAGAGAACTGGCTGAATAAGCTGCACTATTTCTCTACAGTTGTTGAATATCGAATGTCTGAATAGGCAAGGCTAGTTTCACAGTCAGAGTTCCCAATGTTGCTAATTAACAATCCAGAAGCATAAAGCACTGGAAGTCTCCATTTTGACCTCGTAACATCTAGTTGGTGGCCATCATGGCAACAGTAACAAGTTCCTAGACACAGGACCACAGAAATTTGGTTTCTTGGTCATTTCCCTGAAAAAGTTCAATTTACCAGTGGAGGTTTTTTAAGCTCTGCAAACATGCAAATTGATATGGGAAAATTTAACTTTTAATTAATCAAATTCTCCAAGTTAGCAGAACCTCTAGAAATCATGGAAAAGATTATTGTGGATTCATTGCAACCAATCATCACTTCTGCAAAAATGTACAGTGAGCTGGTCTTATGGACAGATATTAAAATCCAAGCACTGGAATAGTGGAAACATAGCCACTGAAAACATACCAGCAATTCTATGCAATGATCGCTGATATTGTACACTCCATTTTGGCTTCTGGTATTATAACCTAATTTTATAGGCTTAAAGGCAAAAGCTGTTTCTTAACCAACCCGAACAGTTTGTCTTTTAGTGGGTTCAGGGAAGAAATCAGCATCCACTCACCATTAATTATTTGTTGTGCTTTTTATGCTTTCTCATAAAAAATTCCTACGACATGTTAACTAAGAACTACTCTCCCAATTTAACTTCTCTGAACTTTTCAGTTTCCTTGTCTACGGTTTCATTTGTGCAAGGGCATATGGAAAGGCAAATGGAAGGGAAGGCACTCCAGCTCAGGAGTAAATTCTAAAGCCCAATCCTCCCTACACTACAGACCAATAGCCCTCAGAGGGTACCGAGATGATAACTTAAGCACAAGCATTGTGCAGTAAATTTCATACACACTTTTAAAAGTGGAGCGCTATGACAGCAGGAAGGTCAGTGGCTCCGCCCTCAAACTTTTCAGGCATTCAAAAACAAATGAGTATCAAAGAGACACTGTCAATTCATTAAGCTTGGGTTTCAATCTTGTTTGGTTCCACTTGAGCCAACTCAAGACAAGTATCTTAATCTTTCATTTTGGTTCCCATAGAAGAGGTAATTACTGTGGAATTTGCTCCTGAGGGTGAATAAACCTCACACAAGAAAATGTGTATGAAGGAATTTTTAAAATATAGACCTATTTTCAGTCCCGAGAATGGCGCTTTTTTTTACCTATTATATGACTACTGACAAATACCTGGTAGGAAAGGCTAGTTTTGGTTACCATTAGAACCAAAGAATTTTCAAGGTGGCTAACCTTTTAAAAACCTCTTGTAGTAGGGCCTTCCTCCAATTAACAGATGAGAAAACTGAAGCTCAGTTACGCTATTTTACCCAGTCACCTTGCAACTGGCAGAGTAAAGGCCCCACGTCCAAGAAATAAAACATTATATTCATGCTTTGTGCGCTGTATTTCTGTTGACTGAAGATGAACTTCCTGGGTGTGACTGATCGCTTCAGCTTCAGAATAGGGGCTGAACATAACGAAGTATCAAAACCTCAAAGACGGTGAGTACTCCAACAGCAAACTAAGGGCCACATTTATAATGCATCTTATTGCAATCTCATCGTTTAGGAGACATCACTAAGAAATGGGGTGGTGGTTAAATGCATGTATATAACTGCCCAAACTTACCAAACGGTGCACTTCAAACTTGCTTCCAATTTTACTGTACATAAATTTTACCTCACAAAAAGTGACTTAATAAAATAAGGAGCGGGACTGTAAGTCCACTAACGTGTAAACTCCTTCAGGACAGCTATGCCTACTTCACACCCCTAGTGCATTTCCAGCACTAGTAACATAGTAGCTTATTTGGTATTTATTTACTAATGAATATTTGCGCCCTCGAGGATTTCTTAAACTGAGCAAGTAAACATTTAAATGACGAATAATACTTTTTCGACATGTTATTGATAAAAGTTTAAGTTCTAATTAAATGCTGGTAACTAAACTGCATGATGTAAAGCAAACCTAGTCTGCACATGCAGTGTCCATTTCATGGCGGTAACGCCAAGGTTAGAATTCCCACAACCGCCCTTCCTCGACAGGCGGACCCTTCTCCCTGGAGTTTGCGCGGTGGCCGCACCACCTGCTTGCGCGGCCCACAGTACACCCGCCGGGCGCGGAGTTCCGTCCCACGCGTCTCCTGGGCGGGGTGCCTCCGGAGATCTGGTACAAGGCGGTAAAAGGACCTCGGAGGCCCGCCGCACACCTGAGCCTGACCCCGGACCCCCGCCCCACGCCTGCAGGGACGCCGGAGAGACGTCCCGGGAGCACTGAGAAGCCATCCACCTGTCAGCCTCAAGTCCAGGAGGAAATTCTGGGATAGCTGCTTCAATGCTCGCAGTTTGAACAACTTAATGATTTCTCGAATCGTGGGCAACGGCGGGAGGCGGAAAGTGCTGAGCGCCGGAGACGAAGCCATGACACGACCAGGAGCCGTGCAGGGCTCAGGGGTCGTCGCTATGCTGCGCCCTAAGCACCCGACGGGGAGGAGCCTGAGAGCAGTAGGGTCCGCCCCCGGGCCCACCTCATTGGTCGGATTTACCCCGCCGGAAGCGAAGAGCACGGCCTGGAAATCAGGAAGCATCGAGAACGCATGCGCCACGTTCTTCAAGGCCCGGTGCAGGCTGGGTGCACACTGGTTCCGTACACCGGGGTGACGGAGAAGTCTTGCGGGCGTGGCCTCCTTTTGGTGGGCGGGGACTCAGGGGAGGGGCGAGGCGGGGCC